AAATTCAAGAATAATTATTTTAAAAGGATGTTAACTGAAATAATCTAGAAAGCTCAAATACTATTGATTGCTGGAACATACATTTTTGTTAGCTCTCATTGAGCAGTATAGTATTAATTAAGAATTAACACTTCATACACTGCTCTAATTCCCCTATTGTTGGAAGAAAACTCCATCTAGTTCAGTTCCAAGCAGGGAGAAAGGCGCTAGAAATAAAATGGAGGCTGATTGGAAAGAAGGATTCCATTCATTGATGAGCAGAACCAGCATATGGTTCTGGGACCCCCTGACAAATTAGCTTGATGAGCGCAAGGATTTTTATACAGTTTACAGTATTTTGTAATTTGGAGGTTTGCTTTGTGTACTGTTATTATTTGATTGGTGGTGGGTTAATGGCATGTCCTAAGGTTCACGTTCAAAGGTGGTATTCAGCAGGTTCTGTCCAGTTCTGGAGAACCGGTAGTGGAAATTTTGAGTTGTTCGGAGAACCGGTAAATACCACCGGCCCCATCCCCATCTATTCTCTGCCTCCCAAGTCCCAGCTGATCAGAAGGAAATGAGGATTTTGCAGTAACCTTCCCCCGGACTGGGGTGGGAATGGAGATTTTACAGTATTCTTCCCCTGCCACGCCCACAAAGCCATGCCCACAGAACCAGTAGTACAAAATTTTGAATCCCATCACTGGTCATGTCCTTTCCTTCTTAATCCTATCACCTGGAGCTGAAGATGTTTTGTTTATGAATAGAGTGGTCCGGATTTCTTAATAGGCATAACATTTCCATCTCTAAAGGCTTTAGGCATTTGGAGGCTGTTGGAGGTTGCTTTCTGCTTTTGTTAAAAATTTTCTCCATTTCTCCTTTGGAGAAATATAATATTCAGCCTCTTTTAATATTCGCCTAAATATTTCATTCTTCGGGAGGGGGAGGGGTTTCCCACAGTATATTTCAGGTAAAGTACAGGATTAGGATTAATTTAGGAGAAAATCTTAATCATTTTCAAAACATCTTTGGCTCCAAAATGGAGTGTTGCCAAAATAAGAGTGTTTTTCTGTAGGTACAGAAAGTTGTAGGTTCATAATAGACATGGTAAAGCTTTTTTTTAAATCAGCTAGGACAGTTTTTAAAACTTTTTGTTCTCAGAACTCTTTTAGATTTTTAAAAATTATGGAGGACCCCAAAAGAGCTTTTGTTTGTATGGGTCATGTTTATCTATATTTATCACATTAAAAATTAAAACTGATGCATTTGTAGAATATTTACTGAATCTTGTAAACATAACAACATTAAAGACATTAGATATTAACACAAATGAAATACATTTCATGAAAAAAACCTATAAATTTTAACAAATAAAAAACAATAATGAGAAGTATGAAAATGTTTTACTTTTTTGCAAATATCTTCAAAATCTGGCAAACAATTTTGATTTTGTGGACTCCTGGGTAGTCTTAGGGACCCTCAGGTCTCTTCAGACCACCTTTAAGAAACATTGTTAGGGTATATTTATTTGTCAGGCATGAAAGTTCAGGTCTACACGTGAAGGTCCAGTTAAACTGGTTCATTGCTAATCATGCCTATGCAGAGGAATCTTCTCAACTAACAGTTAGTACCTGCTTGTGGTTATATAAGGGTCAATGGAATTCAAGGTGGGTTGGACTAAGTTCCCTTGCAGCTACATAGAAACTCTAGGCTGATCTCTCAACTCCACTGCCAGGTTCTGTCATTCCTGCTACAATTAGGACAAACACATCTAAACTGCAAACCTCCAGTGAATCACTAGATGGCAGTAAAGTGGTGTAGAAAAATCCTAACTCTTTGCTAAAATCTAATGGTCATCCAAAATGTTCATAGGTCAGAACTGGTAGCCCAAGTACTTCTACCCCACCACTGTTTCTACTGTCCAATCCCACAGAAGCAGTTCAAAGTCAGTCCATGATCATCTTTATTTCCATTGAGCTTGGAGGGATCATCTCTTTGGATGATCATGGAGAAAGTGCAAAGACATCATTTAATGAGTGTTCTGCTCCTCTCCACTCTGCATGTTTAATTAATGCAATATGTACTATGTGTTTGATGCATATGCAAATAAAAAATTGAGCTGATTTGTAGGATGTTGTTAACTCTGTTGGACTTTAAAAACCTGTGAAAGAATTGTGCTTTGGCAAAATGCTACAGAAACTGAACATCAGCAGCAAGAGTATTGAAAGGCTTGCTGGAGAAAAACAGTCTGACCTCAAACTCTACAGAGCTGCGGCACTAGAAGTGCAAATGGAAATACCGCTATCACCATTTGTATAATTTCAAATGCACCAGAGTAAAGCCAAAATAAATTGGTTCAAATATTTAATGCAAATGACAAAATGATATCACATATATCTGGAGCTGATTCTGGAGTGGTGCAAAGTCCGTATGCAGAAGCACCTTTGGATTGTACCAGTGGTGGGATTCAGCCAGTTTGCACTGGTTTGGGAGAAGTGTTTGTTAACTTTCTGAGCAGTTCAGTGAACCGGTTGTTGGAAGAAATCTCCTTCCAACAGCATTTTGTTTTTATTATTTATTTATTAAATTTGTATACCGCCCTACTCCTGAAGGACTCAGGGCGGTGAACAGCCATAGAATAAAACATATAAATACAAAATTTAAAATTTAAAAATTTAAAATAGATTAAAATGAACTTTACCCACTTTACAGGGCTAATCCTGTCAGGAAGGCAGGAAGGAAACATTCTGGTGTGCCTCTGTGTTGTTTCTAGCCTAATCCTGATCTTTATTGCCCTGTTTAAGAACTTTCAGAAACTGCCTCTCTGGTTAAGGTTTGTAACATTGTAACAGCTAATGGTTCTTGGCAGTATGCCCAGACTAGCCTAGCCAGAGCCGTTTCTCTGGAGTTTTGTTATTGTTGTTGTTTGTTTGTTTGTTTGTTTGTTTGCTGGTACTTTAATTAGGGGATTGACTTTTTAAAAAGCTTTTTACACTGCTTGGGATGTATTTTTGGGATGTACTTCCATGGGGCAGGATGCAAGCTTGGCACTCGGTCTGATTTTTTTACTGCCTTTCTAGGGGCATGTGATCTTTCCTTAAATCTGGATGATTTCCTTAGGATATCTTGTGAGGTGAGTGAGACCAGCTGGTATCTTTAAGTATCTTTAAGTAGTGCAAATGGATCTAAGGATTGCTTTTCCTGGGTGTGAAAGGGTGCTTTATCAGTTCACCGAGCACAGAAGTCTCTTGTCTTTAAGGTTCTTCAGTCGTCCAGGTCATAGTTGTACCAAAGGTGCTTTTTTCAAATGGATCTAAGGATTGCTTTTCCTGGAAGAAATATCTGGTTCAGTTCCAAGTGGGGAAAAAACACTGGAAACATGGAGGCTGATTGGAAAGATGGTTTATTGGTGAACAAGACCACATGGGTTTGAGGTCCTGGGCAGCTGACAAATTGATTTGATGGGTACATGGATTTTTATACAGTTTGTTCTACAGCATTTAGAGGCTTGTTTTGTGTATTTTGTTATTTGATTTTAATTAGTTTGTCTCACGAAGGCCGGCAATGACTTGGGGTTTTTAATCTTGTTTAATAAATGTAATTAATCCTAGTTGCTGGCTTCTTTGGGGTTTTAATTCTGTCTTGAATGGATTACCAAATCTGCATTTTTAAAAGGTGACTTCCTCAGTTTCTTTGGGGCTATTAAGAAAGACTGAGTTTGTTTCCTGCCTTTTAAGAACATGTTTCCCTATTTCTCATTTAGGGAAATTAATTTTCTGCCTTTTTAATATTTCTCAAGTGTGCTAACTTTCTACAAGTTTCAACTTTCTCTTGAAAAAGCACCTTTGGGACAGAAATCTCTTTTATTGCTTTGGAGTGGCCAAGGCACAAGATTGCTCACTGATAGTAAGATTTTTTTAAAAAGGAGATAGGGGTGTGGATCCTTCAATTCATTTTAGTTTTCTCTCATGATAATAAGGCTTAGTAACATGGCACCAGGCTTGAAGTTTATTTAGGTATCTGTGGCATGTACGCTTACAACTGTTGCAGCATCCCCATGGTCATGAGAGGCTGGGCGAGGCAAAGCGCCCCTTGACGTGAGTGATGAGTAAGTGAGTGAGTGAGTGATGGCCACGGCCACCCAGTAACATGACCACCCATCCACACCTACCCAACTGGTCAGTAGGTCAGAGAACCAGTTTTTAAATTATTTGAATTCCACCACTGGATTGTTCTCTCCAATGACACTGTTACTACTGGTATGCACTATGCTGAGTTAAGCTTCTACCTCTACCCCATTTGTATCTTGTTTCCTCCCTTAGTCACCTTTGTTAATTTTAATGTTCATATTAATTGTTTTAATATTTTAATGCTGTATATTGTTGTTTTTACTGTGTGGTAAGCTGCCTAGAGTCACCTGATAGTGAGATGGACAACATATATATTTAATAAACGAACAAATGTGTTCCAGAATGATTAGAGAATTGGATCCTTTAGAATCTTTTAATTCTCTTCATTTTGGAGGTTATAAATGGAGGCACGCATATGTGTGGACCCATCTTGACTTTCTGACCCTTCCCTATGGAAACCCCTGCAATAAAATAATGACATTTTGATTGGTGGTTTTGAGAAATCAATTTGTACAGACTCTCTTTCTCTAATATGTCCTGGGGGCTTTTATACAAACTCTGGGTGTTCAAAGATATTTTGGACTGCAACTCTCTCTTATAAATTGTTTCAAGAATAGCTCAAGGAGGGGTTAGCACATCATTTACATTAACACAAGAATTGTACTTAGTGTCCAGGATACCAGCTGAGTCTCAGCCAAACCCTTCAATGAGGTGAAGCTTGAGCAGCAGCCCACAAAAGTAGTGGGATTTCTAGAGTCAGAAACCCTACCCCCTCTGTGCTGTATAAAAAGTGCTCTTTTTAAGAGAAATTTTGATCATCCGCTCAATTTCTATGTAATGGGGTGATAATCTGTTTGCTTTTGTTCTTTCTTCTGCCTTATCCAACCTCAGTCTGTCTTAGGATCGCAGCCCAATCAGAATCAATTGCAGAATGCAGGTAAGAATCTAAGTGATGATGTTTCTATTACTATCAAATAAATATTTTTATATTACTGAAGATCATTTTTCCATTAAATGGCTCTGTGATTGTCATCAACATGTTGTCTGGGTTTTGTGTAATACATGATGTGACCAAGAGAGTCTTGTACTGAGACCAAGATTCAGCATCCTGAAATTTCCACATCAGTCTTCAAAGCAAATATGAAGCTAGAATGAGGGACCTATTTTAACCCAAATTTGAACTGGCATCAATTAAGCCTTCCTCCTCCTCCTCCTCCTCTTTCCTCAGGTGTTGAGGGACGCTTGCTAAATGATTACAGGAAACTTGCCAAACTTCAGTGCTCTCCACTGACCCCTTTTCACATAAAATTTTATAACACAAACACCCATTTATATAAAGTGTTAAGATCAAGGAATTTAACAGTCCAGTGCCTTAGAAATACATCTACTTGTCCAGTGATAAAATGTAACATATCCTAAATGACAATTCTGCAGCAATATCCGATCATGGCTTTTCCATTTCAGGAGAGTTTAGCCAGAAGAAGGAGGAGAGGCAGGAGAGAGAGAGAAAGACTGCAGGTGCTGTTGTTTTGCCTAATAAAATCCTGTCACAAAAAAGATGGCTGTTTTCTGGCTCAGCACTACTTTCAGAGGGAAACAAAAGATAACTTGCCATCAGAGATGCTACGCAAGCTGATAATCAAACTAAACACGAACCTTCTCTTCCGCTTTCAGGATTTGCTCTCTGTGATATGCAGCCTTCTGGATACTATAATGGAAGCCTCACCACAACCCTCTCTGGGTCAGTTTGCTTAAACTGGTCAGACTTCCCTGATTATATTCAGCAGTATCCAAATCGGGGACTAGGAAACCACAACTACTGCAGGAATCCAGATGGGGGACCCAACCCTTGGTGCTTCTATCAACTCATTTCAGGAGCAACTGGCTGGGCAAATTGTGACTGTAGCCAGGGTAAGCATCACAGGTGAAAATTGGGGTAGAATTAATAACTATAAAACGAGGCCTTAAAAATGTTAGGAATGTTTTTAAAAATAGAAGGAGCAACTTGATTTAAACCGGACTTGCACCCAGATTAAGAATTCAAGTTTTCTGGAATGGAGATTGGATTACCAGAAATCTAAACAGAAGACAGTGTTACACAGAAAATGTACTTAATATTTAACCCACTGGATTCCCTCTGGAAAGGAAACGGTGGGAGAAAATGAAAAGGGAAGAAACAGAATAGCATTTAGACCTCTCATAAACCATCAGGAAGTTGGGTGACCAGGAGCATTCTTGGGGAAGTGTTAAAAAAAGTGAAGATGACATTCACAACAGGGTTCCCCTGTTTTACATGAGTCACACATGGAAATGCCCCTTTTGGTAATTGTGTGATATGACCATTCTTTTTTCCTTTTTAATTGTCATTTAAAAAATGGGCTGATCACATAGTATGAAGAACTGATGGCAGGTGGACCAAGGCAATCATCGAATGGATCCTACTTGATAAAAAGCGTCCACGAAAGAGGATGCTTCTTTAGCTCCATCTAAAACAAGATGGAGCTACGACATCAGCAAGTATTGTGTGCCCAATTGGCAAAAGAAAGCTGAGGACCGTATAGGTTAGAAACATGTGGAAGAGGCCTTCATCCTGCAGTAGATAGATGATGGCTAAAATGATGAATTATCACAAAGTAACTGAGATTTTCGATTAGGGTGGAGGATGTTAGGTGAGGCATTCTTTAAAAGGTAGGTGGTGCAGTGAGAACCACCAGCCAGATGCCAAGGCAGGCCATGGAGAACAGAGTTTCTCAACCTTAGCAACTTTGCGATGGGTGGACTTCAACTCCTATGCTGGCTGAAGAATTCTGGAACTTGAAATCCACACATTTTAAATTTGCCAAGGTTAAGAAAATTCTGGGCTAGAGCAGCTAGCTGTCACAGCCTGCATGAACTATGGGGGTGGGGAGGGAGACAGAAGGGGGAAACTGAAACTGATGGAGTTGATGGGAAGAGAATGGCTGCATCTCTCCTTCATGAGCTGAAAGTCTGACATTAGCAATGATGGTGCTGGGGAGGGGGGAGAGGGAAGTCCAGCTGAGCCTTGTGAGAAGCTTCAGCCAGCCAAGGTCAGCAATCATATGCAGAGCTGGGAGCCAAGAACCTGTTTCCTAAACAATGTACAAGCACCTAATTGGACATTTAAAGATAACTGGGGGATGGGGGGAAGAGGAAAATTTAGTTTATATTATTTGCATGGGAAAACCTCAAATTCAGCTTATACTACTTCTGTAACCACTTAAGCTTCAGTAAATAATCTTGGCAAAAACAAATAGCCAGGAGTCTATCTTTGCCAGATGACTGAGTGGGATGGTTGACAGGTGCCTCTCAGACACTCTGAATCTTCAAGGTTGTTGCCCTGGGAGAAGAATGCAGGACCGTTGCAATAATAATTTACTCAAGTAAAATTGGACAATAAGGGGTCAAAGGGAGGAGAGGAACTGGATGGGGAAAGTTAATCGAACTTCAGTTCTGGTTTTATTTTACTCGAATTCACTTGACTTCTAATAAAACTATTCCTTTTGCAACAAATGAAGCCAAGGATCATTTCAACTCAATTTAGGAGGCCAAGTTGAGGCAAGTCTGACAAAGTAGACTCCAACAGATGTTGGGAGAGAAAGATTATGAGCCCTCCTACAATAATTTCCAGCTGAAGTTTGTACTATGAGAAAGCAGTTCTTTCCTTGAGAATAGAGACAAAGTTAGAAAAGGATGGATGGATGTAACTTGCTTAGGAAGTGATCTCAGTGGCTCAAACAGAGATTCAAGGAATCATCTTCCCCGGAGCATCTGCAACTGCATTCCTTTAGCTGCACTTTCTCCCCTTGAAAACAGTGTATAAGCAGTCTCCAGTTTAATGAGGAGTTTCATTCCCAAGGTCTCCTTAAAGTCACATTGGTACATAAGCCAGAACACTATTATTGTATAATACTGCGTAGTATTGAGTAATGAACTTGAACTGTTGTATATTTAACTTGAATCGTTGTGCATTGAATTCAAATTTTGCTACAGTAGGCTCTGTTGTTAACTATGAGTCATCTTTAAACCAGGGTGTTCTCTACCCGGGGACTTGCTGTGCCACTCTCTTTCCAGTTCAACCTTTTCATTTCATTCATCTAAAAGGTTGAATGACATGGGATACAAATATAATAAATAAACATGGAAAAGTCAAGTAAAAACAAGGCTTCAGTCTTATTAAGAATTCTCACATTGTGGTTTATTACTGATAGAAACAAGCTAGCATTCATTTTCCTTTGCAATAGTCAGCAGTCAACAGTCAACAGTTCCCCTTTTCATTGCATAGAAAACATTGATAAAAATCTGTGATAAATGTGTGCCCTCCCAAACCCTGAGGAATTTCCTCCATCTTCCATGACAGCTGAAGAAAGAGGCCTGATTTGGGAAAGACATTATGTAACCTTTTGCAGATTCTGTTGATCTGATTCTTTTGGTCTCTTTGCCCTGACAGATTCAGTGCGACTTACGGAAAGTGGCAGGGTGGAAATATACTACAAAGGGCTGTGGGGGATGATCTGTGATGATGAGTGGACTGACTTGGATGCCAGTGTGGTATGCCAACAACTGGGGCTCAGGTAAGAAACACTTCATTGGATTGAGCCACCTGTTTTTCTCAAGAGAAATTAACTTTCTTGAAAATTGAAAAACTAAAGAAACAGTAGAACTCAACTTTTTTGGTATATATATATATATGGAAGAAAGCTGTATCTTAACAAGACCTATTATTACCTGTGGAGTCACTGCATTTTCTGCTTTTGGATAGTGAAACTGGCACAGCCCTAAGACAGCGTCCTTCCAGTTCGGAGCTGTTACCCTTACATCTTCAGTCTGCAAACTGTCGTGGTGATGAGAAGATGCTGTCCCAGTGCAATTACCAGGAAATATTCAGAGCTTGTATCCAGGGAACTGCAGGGACCACTTGTGGATCATCTCAAGGTACACTTGAGGACAAATACATACCGGTAGATTCCATTTCTTTTAGCAAAGTAGAAAGTCAATAATCCTGGAAGTTTTGCTGCGTCGAAGCAAAACTACAAAATAATGTTGTTTGGTAAAGCGGCATTGTCAACCCTTTGAGAAGATTCTTCAAGGATTCTGAAAGCAAAGCAAGGTTGGAGTTCTTTTCACTCTTTGTTATCCAAGACTAAGCTTACATTTTACTAATGGTTGCCACCGGTCTTTTCTAAGATCACCTCTGTGCTGCTCTACAGATATCTGTGAGGGAGACAGGTCAAGTTGGTATCCAAGATAAGTTGGTCAAAGCCCCCTCCCCTTTCATGCATGTCAGAAGGCATGTAAGGGGACAGGGCTTCATCATAGGGATACAACCACCATTTTGACTGTGCTTGTCTGCTCCTGCATGTTGATCCTGAGCGTAAAGTACTGTAATGAACGAAACAATGAAAGAAATTAATCTGCCTGTTTGAAGACCATACCATCTTTGCGTACTGTCACTGGAGAAACAGCACAGTTTTAAGTTTCAATGATCATGTTATGTACTGTTCTGGATCTCACCATGGTATATTTCAGGTCAAAAAATCATACGGCATATGATTTGGTATCAAGACAAGATTTATTTATTTGTTTATTAAATTTATATGCCACCTATCTCATTATCAAAGCAACTCTGGGCGGCTTACAATAAAGTCATAAATAAAAAACATTAAAATTAACAGGATAAAATAAAATTAGAAAACAAGTTTTGAAACTTTTTGTAGGAGCTCTGGTCCAAAAGTTGATAGCTTCCAAGAAATTTGGGGAAATTGTATATGAGACAAATAATGAATTCTAAATGTTTAATTGCTAATAAGCAATTCCAGATTACATGGACACACATTTTTTGCTCAGAATCTTTTGCCATTTTGTTTAGGTGTATGAGGTGTTTGATCCTCTGTCCAGAAGCTAGGTAAATAAAATAATTGTTTAGCAGTGGTGGCAATGGTGAAATTTGTTGCTACTGGTTCTGTGGGCATGGCTTGGTGTGTGTGTGTGTGGGGGGGTGTCATGTGACTGGGTGGGCATGGTCAACTTTTTTTTTTACTTTTTAAAAGCATTTTTTACTACCAGTACGCCCAAACCGCTAGAATTTCACCCGAGTGGTGTGCTCCTCAGAAGGAATGAGTACATTGACCTTGTGAAAGGTATGCGAGTGCCCTCCTATCCCCTAAAATGTTGACTGGTGTATATCAAACTGGTGTATATTCAAAGAAATACAATTTATATTGTCAAGAAAAAGATTTGTGGTAATAGATGAAAGGATCTATTTTGTGTAATCATTAGGATTATGCTGGATGGTGTTTCTTTATTATCCTTGTTCTTTTTGATAAGCAGCTGTAGGATCTCCACTTCGCCTGGTAGGAGGCACAAAAAGCTTTGAGGGTCGAGTAGAAATTTACCATGATGGCCATTGGGGCACCATCTGTGATGATCGGTGGGATGACAAGGATGCTGAAGTGGTTTGCAGACACTTGGATCTCAGGTAATTTCTTTGAATGAGGACATTTAAGAGGGCAAGACTATGATCTCTTGCATCTTGTTCAAAGCAGTGCTTTCTCTCCTGTTCATCAGTTCTTATGCTGTGTGTTTTTCGCTTCCTCCCAGTGGATTCTCAAGAGCCGTGTCTTGGGCTCACTTTGGGAAGGGCTCAGGCTCAATCCTGCTGGATGAAGTGGAGTGCTCAGGCAATGAGCTTTCACTGGACCAGTGCAAGAAGAGTGATTGGGGGAAACACAACTGTGACCATATTGAAGATGCTGGGGTTATTTGTGACCCCTTCGTAGGTAACTACTGTACCAAATACATATTGGGTTTGAAGGCTGCCTTTACAACCACTTTTTCTGAAAATGGTATAGAAAGAAAGTTTTAGGGTTGTTGTTGTTTTTTGCTGGTTTTTTTTTGGTTTCCATCTCTTGCAACAAAGCAGAAGGAACAATCCGATTGACAGGAGGCCTCCATCCAAGTGAAGGAAGGGTAGAGATCTACCACAATGGAAGATGGGGATGTATTTGTGATGATGGCTGGAAGACAGGAATCAATGCTCAGGTTGCTTGCAGACAGTTGGGCTTCAAGTAAGTAAAACAGACTATCGTCAACTGCCAAAATGTCACTGTTTGCAAATTAATTTCAGCTGTGTATTCTGTTTCAGTGGTCACAAATGTCTTGACTATAACAGGGTGCCATATCTGAATTATGCCAGAGTGTTCTTTATATCAGTGTTTATTTAATGTATGTAAAATGTTTGCGCTTCCCAGTATTAGAAAAAGAGGAAAAGATTGGAAAAAAGGAGAGATGAGAGTACTAAAGGAAAAATGTTAAAAGAGACCCAGTTTGGTCTAGTGAAGAAGGTCCCAGGCTAGAAACCAAGAGCCTGTGAGTTCTAGTCCCACCTTAGGGATGGAAGCTGGCTGGGTGACCTGGACTAATCACTTTCTCTTAACTCAACCACCGGGCAGGGTTATTGTGGGGAAAATAGGAGGAAAGAGTATTAGGCATGTTCGCCACTTTGAATTATTTATGAAAATAATGAAGGCAGGGAATTAAATAAATGATTCTGTTATATTTAATTCAAGCAGTTCCACCTAGAAGTTCCACTGATTTATTAAAATGAATTAAACCATAAAATGCTTTTTATAACTATCATACTGCTTGTATGTGTGAGCTGGACTAGTTGGACTAAAAGACCTCCAAGGTCCCTTCCAACTCTGATATTCTGTTATGATGTTATTCTACCAGCTCACATGTACAGGATGTATTTGCAGGATCCTGAAGGACGTTTTGTAACATCTTCTAATGCAGGGCCCTACAACCCTGGCAATTTAAAGATGTGTAGACTTTAACTCCCAGAATTCCCCAGCAATCAGGCTGACTGGGGAATTTAGAGTTGAAGCCCACACATCTTAAAGCTGCTAAGTTTGAGAAACTTTCTAATGTCTTGAGAACGAACTCATGCAGAGAAGCACCTTCATTTTACAAATACGTTTCTTCTTTAAATTGGGTTTATGCACTTCTTCCCAAAGAATAAATTCTTATTGATGAGAGTGGTTAGCCTCTGAAGGAAGTTCTGAGCACAAAGGCTACTAAGCCTCTTTCTTTCTTTCTTTCTTTCTTTCTTTCTTTCTTTCTTTCTTTCTTTCTTTCTTTCTCTTTCTTTCTTTCTTTCTTTCTTTCTTTCTCTCTCTCTCTCTCTCTCTCTCTCTCTCTCTCTTTCTTTCTTTTTCTTCAGTGGTCCTGCCAGGCTGGCATCAAAGGATGAATTTGCGCCAGGCCAAGGTTTCATCTTGCTGGACGATGTGGCTTGCATAGGCACAGAATCATCTCTGATGGACTGTCCCCATAGTAACTGGGGTCAACATGATTGCTCACACGAAGAAGATGTGGGAATATACTGTTCCGTGGTTGGCAACAGAATCACTGAAGATAAAACTGGTAAGGAGCTAATAGGTCACACTCAAAAAATATTGTTCCTTGTCACTGATGTCTTTGTCTTTAGTTGTGATAACAGGTGTTCTGCAGGTTTATTCTTTTATCTGACTTCTGTATAAAATGGAGGGATGGAGTTTAATTTTAATATCAATAGGTAAAGGACATTGAACTTTCTGTCTCTTTCTGTGTGTTGTTTCAGGCAACTTCTCCAGCCCCGGCCGATGGCAAGGTAAGGTGATAACTCCCAAATTCCCATATTTTCTTTCAAATATATATATTTGCTACAAACATGAGATATGTCCCCATTTATACATCTTTGGGGCAGATGGAAGAATTGCATGCAGTTTGGACATTACAGAAAATGGGGGTAAGTGAGTCAAAGGACTTTGTCTTCATTTCCAATATGTTTTTAGCCTTTAAAAATGTGTTAGTGCCTTTAGAAAACTAAGCTGGGAAGAGTTAGTAGTTCAGAGTAACTTCCAGATGTTTTGCCTTCCCCAGCAGCCTCACATTTTAATAGCAATAGCACTTAGACTTATATACCACTTTACAGTGCTTTACAGCCCTCTCTAAGCGGTTTAGAGTCAGCCTCTTGCCCCCAACAATCTGGCTCCTCATTTTACCAATTTCGGAAGGATGGAAGGCGGAGTCAACTTGAGCCTGGTGAGATTCGATCTGCCAAACTGCTGGCAGCCGGTAATCAGCAGAAGTAGCCTGCAGTTCTGCACCCTAACCACTGTGCCATATTCTCTCTTTCTTTCATTCTCTCTCTCACCACTTTTGGAAGAAATGTACATCTGGGTTCAGTTCCAAGTGGGAAGAAAGACACTAGAAACATGGAGGCTGATTGGAAAGATGGTTTAATGGTGGACAGGACTACGTGGTTTGAGGTCCTGGGCAATCGAGTACATGGGTGAGAGAGAGAGAAAGAGAGATTTATACCCTCTCTTGGGCCCCGCCTTGGAGCTTCCTGTTCCTGTAAGGGCAAGTATCCTGATTAATTGTCAGACTCCCATGGGGCCATGGAGGGGTAACTTTGTAGGTTGTCATGACTCCCAGGCTTGGTTGAATCTTGCTGGGTGATGAGGTAATGAAGCTAATCCTATCATGTCCTGAGGGTGAAAGGTCTTAATCCCATCATCCTGATGCTGAAGTGGGGGGCAGGGAGCTGCTTTGTCTTTAAAAACATGTTTCTCCTTTTCTCATCCAGGGAAATATAATATTCTGCATTTTTAATATTTCCTAGAATATTTCATTCTTCTAGGATGAAATATTTCTTTCTTACACCACCATCACACCACCAACAACAACAATCTTGCTGGTTAAATTGTCCCAGTTGTTGCCTTCCTTCTCAATTGTGGTGTATTGCAGAATGCCTATCTTGCCTTGGCCCTCTTTGGCCCTGGCAGTGTTAACTGAGTTTCCAAGTTATTTATCAGCTTACTTCAGTTTCTATTTCTTCTGGGCCTCTTAAGCATGGCTTTCATTTACAGGGCTTCTGGTGCGGCTGGTGGATGGGGACCAAGCCAATGAAGGCCACGTGGAGCTTTTTCTGAATGGAGAGTGGGGCAGAATTTGTGCTGAAGGCTGGACAGAGAGAGCTGCAGCTGTGGTTTGCAGGCAGCTGGGCTACAGGTAACTGCACAGCAAGACTCTCTTTAGGAAAAAGCAGCTTACGTAAAGTCAATTTCTGAGTAAAGATGGCCAAATTTTGTCCTGGGTTCTGCCTTGGCTTAGCTTTTCCAATAAGCAACCGAGTCAAAAGATTATTTGCAAGCAATTTATTAGAATACTCTGATAAAAGTGGGGTCTTCCTATGAAAACGGGGAACCAGAAAAAATGGCTTACTTTTACTTTTATACTTAGCACAACAAAGACCTTCAAAGCAAAGGTTGATCGGTTTAGAAATAGTCATCTGTCCAGGTAATCACAAGAATTAAAACATCCAATAATATGTCAGTAAAAACCATGTTTCAAGTATTACAAAGTCTATCTTCTGTGGCCTTCAGTACCAATGTATGCCTTTAGAACAGTGTAGTTTGCTAAGAATGAAGTTCCATTTAAGAAAAACTGTTGGCATTTTGGGAGCATTAAGAGGCACTAGAACGAAAACATCTATTTCGTACCTTAAAATCCCCACCCCTCCCACACCATGGCTCCCACCTAGTTTTGTAATGTGGCCCTCAGCAGGCTCCCTCTAACTGAGAACATGCAAGTGTAGCTCTCAAATCTGATGGCAAATGAGAGTTGTTGCCTGGTATGCACATAGTTATTATGGCAGATGGTGGAACTATTTAAAGGGCTGGAAATTATCCTTGCCCTTTTTTTTTGTAGAAATCAAATTAAAATTTGCAAGCACATTTTTGTGTATTTTGGTTGCTTTTCTGCTTAACCACAGTTCCATATTTTTATTTGAGTTTCTCTTCGAGCAGAGACATGAATGCACCCTTGGAGTGGACTTTGTGTGTATATTGCAAGTTGTTCTCTCTTTTCTTAACAAAAGATAATCAGATTACTGGTGTGCTGTGCCTCCCAGTGCCTTGTGCCAGGCTGGCTCAGATGTAACTGGGCCCTCCCCCAGGCATGGCTTTTGCATATGAGGAAAAGGTAGATGCCTTTTGGAGCTGTCAGATCCACCAGCTTCAGCTTTGTGCCTTGCCGACATTCTGTCATCAATTGGGGAAGGGAGGGGGGAACAAATGGACAATAAATCCATATACCTTTAAGGTGGGAAATTGGGAGGGGAGATTTGACAGTTAAGAAAGAACAGAGCATTTTGGAATCGTACTGGTGCACTGGCATCTTCAAGGCTATTTGCCCTGAGGATGGAATTTCACCCGTCCAAACACCTCAGAGTTTCTCATAACATCTCAGCGGTGCTAGATGGGCTACACCTGGATGGACCATGGGGAGGAGGGGGAGGATGGCTAGGGGGAAAACCAAGGATTTAGTTCTGTAGTAGCAGAATTTTAGATTCCGCTTGACTCTCCTGCAATCAGCATCTTTTAGTAAAAGTGTCTTTTCACTTCAAATGGAATCGAGAGTTTTACTTCCCTAACAGATCAGACTGGGGCAGGTCTGACAGGAGCTGAAGTCCACACCTCTTAAACTTGCTGAGGTTGAGAACTCTGGTCTAAGGTGACCTCCTGCTGCTTCCCTGCCTGAGTTACATGGCTAGATGTGGAGCGACTGGAGAAATTAGCCTGTAGCAGCGATGTACACATATTCCTTTCCCAAGGTGCCCGTGTGACCTTCTTCTCTTGGCAGTTCCCAGCATGGCCTCAGAGGCCACTTCCCTTCTTTCCTCCCTCCCCTCAGACCCTGCTGTCAATTCTCAGCCCTTCAAAATATACCAGAATACCAAAATTATGAAACAGTCAAGAATAGAGCTGGAAAGGACTTTGGAAGTGTTCTCGTCCAACTCCCTGCTCAAGCAGGAGATCCTACACTATTTCAGACAAGTGACTGTCCAGTCTCCTCTTAAAAACCCCCAGTGATGAAGTACCTACAACATCTGAAGGAAAGCTGTTCCACTGGTTAATTGTCCTCACTTTTAGGAAGTTTCTCCTCAATTCCAGGTTGCTTCTCTCCTTGGTTAGTTTCCATCCATTGTTTCTTATCCTGCCCTCTGGTGCTTTGGAAAATAAATTGACTCCCTCCTCTTTGTGGCAGCCTCTCACATACTGGAATACTGCTATCATGTCATTCCTAGTCTTTCTTTTCTCTATCCAAATCCAAACCCTACAACTGTTCTTCATATGTTTTAGATTTCAGGCCTTTAATCATCCTAGTTGCTCTTTGCACTTTTTCCAAAGTCTCAAAATCTTTTTTGCAATGTAGTAACTAAAACTGGATACACTATACTAAAATAAATACTGAAATAGATAAATACTAAAATGCATACTAAAATGCATACTAAATACTAAATATTAAAAGGATATTATTTATTTATTTATTTATTTATTTGTTTATATTTATATATTGCCCTTCTCCCAAAGGATTCAGGGTGGTGAACAGCCAACAAATAAAACACAAGAAATACAAAATTTTAAAAAGTATTAAAATCCAATTAAATTAATTTGGCCCACAATTAAAAGCACCCCTATATTAAGACCCATTATTAAACAATTTAAAAATTAAAACAATTTAAAAGAGTTAGGCCAGTCCGGCTTGCTGGAATAAATACGTCTTTAGGGAATGGCGAAAGGTGCAAAGATCCGGGATCCGCCGTATCTCTGGGGGCAGCTCATTCCAGAGGGTAGGTGCCCCCACAGAGAAGGCTCTCCCCTGGGGGCCGCCAGTCGGCATTGTTTGACTGACAGCAACCTGAGGAGCCCCTCTCTGTGGGAGTGTACTGGTGGGTGGGAGGCTATCGGTGGCAGAAGGCGGTCTCGTAAATACCCGGGTCCTAAGCCAAGGAGCGCTCTAAAGGTGGTAACCAATACCTTGAAGCGCACTCGGAAGACCACCGGGAGACAGTGCAGCTTGCGCAGGAGAGGTGTTACATGGGAGCGCCGAGTCGCCCCCATAACCACCCGCACGGCCACATTCTGGACCAGCTGGAGCCTCCGGGTGCTTCTCAAGGGGAGCCCCATGTAGAGAGCATTACAGTAGTCCAGGCGGGATGTGACGAGAGCATGAGTGACTGTGTGTAAGGCATCCGATCCAGAAAGGGATGTAACTGGTGGATCAGGCGAACCTGATAAAAAGCTCCCCTGGCCACAGCCGTCATATGCTCTTCTAAAGACAGCCGTGTGTCCAGGAGGACGCCCAAGTTGTGAGCCCTCTCTGTGGGGGCCAACAACTCGCCCCCAATAGTCAGTGATGGCATCAACTGACTATATCGGGATGCCGGAAGCCACTCAGTCTTGGACGGATTGAGCCTGAGCCTGTTTCTCCCCATCCAGATCCACACGGCCTCCAGGCACCGGGACATCACATCAAGGGCATCGTTGGGGTGGTCCGGGGTGGAGATGTACAGCTGAGTGTCATCAGCGTACAGATGGCACTTCACCCTGAAACCACGGATGATCTCACCCAGCGGCTTCACATAAATGTTGAACAAAAGGGGCGAGAGAACCGACCCTTGCAGCACCCCACACACAAGGCGCCTCGAGGTTGATCTCTGATCCCCCATCAACACGAACTGCGACCGGTCAGAGAGGAAGGAGGAGAACCACCGCAACACGGTGCCCCCTACCCCCCACCCCTCCAATTGGCGCAGCATGATACCATGGTCGATGGTATCAAAGGCCACTGAGAGATAAAAAGAGAGATTAAAATTGCTTTTATTATAGAGATACGATAACAGAACGTTGCAACTCTGAATGTCCCTCCCCCTCACTGCCTTTATCCTAAAGAGAACTAGGAAGGGGCAAGACTGTGATGTTTTCTCAAATTGCATTCCTGTTTTGGATTTCTCTCTTTTTTTTTTTATTGCAAAAGTTTTACAATTACATTTTCACCCCTTTTTTCACCCCCCCTCCCCAAACTTCCCATCCTCCCTAACCCTCCCTAACCCTCCCCCCCCCAGACTTCCCTATTATGTACTCATAACTAATAACACTGATATATAAGCTTGAACCCATCCCTCCCCCTGTATAATTTTTCCTCTTTGTCTCTTTACATTAAAATATTTCTAATACATTATTTTCAAATAAAAGCTATTTGATACTTTCTAGTTTGGTATTTGTTCTGAACATATTCTATCCACCTTTTCCATTCCCATTCATAAGTCTCTTGTGAACAGTCTTTTAAATATGCTGAAATCTGTTTTGGATTTCTCTTAACTCATTGCCTTGGCTGTCTTCTTCCTCTAGTTCCACAAGTTTATTCTCATAGCCATTACACCAAAACACCATGCCAGCTGATCTCTCTGGTCTTCCGGGTCTTTCCATATGTGTCCTAGGCCTCTGCATAACTGGAGAGGTCTTGGATTTTTCCTTCACTCAGACCTGCCTAGGAAAAGTACAGGTAGTGCTTGACTTATGACCGCAATTGAGCCCAAAATTTATGTTATGCAAGACAGTTGTTAAGTGACTTTTGCCCGATTTCTTGCCACCATTATTAAGCAAATAATTGCAGTTATTAAGTTAGTAATGTGGTTGTTAAATGAATCTGGTTTTCCCATTGACTTTGCTTGACAATGGGGCCACAAAAGGGGATCCCACGACCTTGGGACAGTGCAACAAATATGAGCCAGTGGCCAAATGTCCAAATTTTGATCACGTGACCACAGGGATGCTGCAACAGTCATAAGTGTGAAGAACAATCATAAGTCACTTTTTCAATGCCATTGTAACCTCAAACAGTCACTAAACAAAGGGTTGTAAGTCGAGGACTACCTGTAGTCCTATTTTGTTCTACGTAGTGAACAAAACACCCACAATATGTTTCAATCTGAGTACAGATTTCTCAAGCAGTGCTTCTGAATAGTTTTGTTCTATGCAGGTTTTTTTAGTCTGAAATCAAAAAGCAAGCCAAGCCAAGCATTTTGGGTTTCAATTCTGCCAAACTGTGGCTTATCCAGGAGAGATCAGCAGAACCTTTGGTACCTGATCTTTGTTCCAGACTTGAAATAAAACCTAGTCTGGTTCTCTACATGCTGCTAGCTTGTAGTGACTTCCTGCTTAATTTAAGCAAGTCTCTCCTTCCAGTGGTACTGCAGTCGCCATCCATAGGCCTTATTCAGATGCATGGCATGGACCCATCCACCTGGACAATGTGGAATGCTCTGGCACTGAGCATACCTTGGCAGAGTGCATCATCCATCAAAGTGGTCAACACAACTGCAGGCAGAAGAAAAGTGCACGTGTGATATGTGACTACATGAGAAAAGAGAGACAATTTATAAGGAACGATGGTAAGTCTCTTAGTCTTGACTTCTTGGGCAGAAAACTGGGTTTCCAGAAATTCATGTTGAGTTGCTGCAACTAACAGGCTGACAGGCATATAAAGGGGCAATTGTGGTAGGAAAGCAATATGTAAAGAAAGAAGATCCTCTCCATATTCTTTGATTTTGATCTGCAGCCTCTGTGGGCCCCAACTCCTCTTTCTTGTCAATAAAAATCAAGCATGTAAATTACTTGGCCATGGGATTATTCTCTTCCAAGAAAATGCAACATCCATGTTTCCAGTGTTGTTGAACTTCAGAATTCAGTGGGTTTCAGAACAGGCTTAGCTTGTGGAAGGTATCAAATTCAGTTCCATTTAAAACAAGTTTTTTATTTTTTTTTCCTTCAAAAGTGGGGGAGGGAAAGAATTTCAGGAAACTACAGACCAATCAGCCTGACATCAATACTTGGGAAGATCTTGGAAAAGATAATCAAGCAACAAAACTGCAAATAGCAAGCAAAGTTGTAACCAAAAGCCAACACGGTTTGTTAAAACAGATCATGCCAAACAAATCTTATTTCATTCTTTGATAAAATGACTAAATTAGTAGACCAGCAAAATGCAGTGGACATAGTATACTTGGATTTCAGCAAGGCATTTGACAAAGTAGACCACAACCTACTACTTGGTAAGCTAAAAAAATGTGAGATAGATAGCATCACCACCAGATATATTTATAACTGGCTGGCAACCCACACTCAACAAATAGTCCTTAGTGGTACTTCATCTACATCAGGGGTATCAAACTCGCAGCGTCATGTTGCCGTCACATGACGCTTTGTGACGTTTTTCCCCTTTGCGGATCTGGGGTGGGCATGCACGTGACACTTCTGGCCCATGGGCCACCAGTTTGACACCCCTGATCTACATGGATGGAAGGAAGGAAGCAGCGGGGTACCCCAAGATTTTGTTTTAGGCCCAGTACAATTCAACATCTTCATTAACGATATAGATGAGAGAAGAGAAGGGGAACTCATCAAATTTGCAGATGACACTAAACTGGCAGGAATACCCAATACCCTAGAAGATGGGCTCAAAATCCAGATGGATCTCAACAGACTTGAACACTGAGTCCTATCTAACAAAATGAAATTCATTGTAGAGAAAAGCAAAGTTCTACACTTGGGCAAGAAAAACCAAATGTATAGGTACAGATTAGGTGAAACCTGACTCAATAGCAATAACTGTGGGAGGGATCTTGGATTCTTAGGGGACAATCACTTAAATATAAGGCAGCAGTGGGAGGCAGCCGCCAAAAAAGCCAATGCAATCTAGGTTGCATTAACAGAGAGAAAGAATCAAGATCATGTAAAGTATTAGTAGCACTTTATAAAGCCTTAGTAAGACCACATTTAGAATACTTCATCCAGTTTTGGTCACCATCAGTGGTGGGTTGCCCCCCGGTTTGCACCGGTTCTATAGAACCGGTAGTAAAACTGGCGGGAGGCTCCACCCACCGACCCCGACGTCATCAAAACGCTTCTGCGCATGCGCAGAAGAACACGCGTGCACGCTTGCTTTGCTCGCACGCGTGCACAGCCCCACTGCAAACCGGTAGTAAAGGTAAATAGAACCCACCCCTGGTCACCATATTATACAAAAGCAATAGAGACTCTGGAAAGAGTGCAAAAAAGAACAGCAAAGATTATTAGGGGGCTGGAAGCTAAAACATATGAAGAACGGTTGCAGAAATTGGGTATGTCTAGTCTAGTGAATAGGATCGCCAATATGATCGCCAACGTCTGATGACAGATATGGTGCAAGAAGAAGCCTAGTGAAAGAAGGACTGGGGTGACATGATAGCAGTGTTCCAATATTTGAGTGGCTGCTACAAAAAAAAGGGGGGGGTGTTCAACTTATTTTCCAAAGCCCCAAAAGGGCAGGACAAGAAACAATGGATGGAAACTAATCAAGGAGAGAAGCAACCTAGAACTAAAGAGAAATTTCCTAACAATGAGAGAACAATTAACCAGTGGAACAGCTGGCCTTCAGAAGTTGTGGGAGCTCCATCACTGGAGCCTTTTAAGAAGAGACTGTCTGGAAGGGCATAGGGTCTCCTGCCTGAGCAGGGGGTTGGACTAGGGGTGGGTTCTACTTACCTCCGCTGCCGGTTCGCAACAGGAGAATGCACACGTGCTTCTGCGCATGTGCAGATCGTTCATGATGATGTCCGGGCGGGTGGGCAGAGCCTCCCGCCGCCATTACTACCGGTTCGCAAGAACGGGACTGAACCAGAAGCAACCCACCACTGGGTTGGACTACTGGAAGACCTCCAAGGTCCCTTCCAACTCTTCTGTTCTATTCTGTTCTAAGTTCTCAGTAAAAAGGCTGGAAAAGGTTTTGATCAACTTTTGAAGTACTAGACCAGTGTGAGGAAAGAGTACTAGGATCGATGACAATAACCAAGTGATATAATTTGGCAACTATATCTAATCTAATCACCATTCTAATGTCACCCTTTCAAATTAAGACTTTTTTAAAATTAAAATGTGGGTCCTTGGGGAAAAAGAAATTAGTGTCAATAGAGGAAAAAGAGAAAGAACTTCAAGGGTTACATAAAATAGTTGAATGTAAAGCCTGTTCTGTTTCAATTAAATCCTTTCACGTTTCTACTCTGGATCTACTGGAAGATCCAGAGACTGGAAGAAAAACTTTTGTGCTGGGATCACTGTAAACCGCTTAGCAAGTGCTGTTGCTATTGCTATTGCTACTCTTTAAAGGGACATGTTTATGTGGAGTTCTGGAGAAATTAAACCCCTTCCAGAATGTACTATAAATGCAGTACCTTATTTGTTAGAGAGAGAGAGAGAGAGAGAGAGAGAGAGAGAGAGAGAGAGAGAGAATGCATACTGAAAATGCATTTATTAGAGAGGAAAGATTGCTTTTAGCTTAAGGTGATAATTCTTGGCTGAAAACTGGAAATTGCATATGCTTTATCTGTTTCTTCTTTTCTGCTCTTTCTTTGTGGGATCTTTTTGTCAAGATTTTCTTCCTTTCAAGAATTGGTAATGTTGCTATTTCCACTTTTAATCTCATCGTTCCCACCGCCCATCTCCTTCCACTTATGACTGTATGACTGTAACTTTGTTGCTTGTATCCTTAAAATTTATATTGATATTTTCCTGATTGCTTATTTGTACCTATGACTATCATTATGATTCCTGATGAACGTATCTTTTCCTTTATGTACACTAAGAGCATATGCACCAAGACAAATTCCTTGTGTGTCCAATCTCACTTGGCCAATAAAAAATTCTAGTCTAGTCTAGTCTAGTCTATTTTAATCTTTTAGCACTGTAAGGAAAATAAAGAATTAAGGAAGACTGTTATAAGGGAACAAACTACTATGGTAGTACCATTTTCCTACCATCTAAGGACAACAATCAACCAATGGCCTACAATCATATCCAAAGTGTGATTCTGGCATCTGCATTGTGTGGCAAATGAATATGAACCTAATCATTTTGGCTTTCTTGGCAGGTTCCAATATTGGCCTGTGTGGTCTTCGTTTGACTCAGCACCGCAACAAAAGAATAATTGGTGGAAACAAATCCTCCAGGTACCCTGCTTGCTTCCTATCATTGAACTGCTGTCAACTCATTTTTACCTGTTTACTTCTAGCAGACTTCAAATATTTATATAACATGGTACACCTACTTTTTGTGAAAGATATCTAGCTGGGGGAAACTCTTAAAAGCATATCTTGTTAAGAATTATGTTCGCCAAATGGCAGAATAGTGTAATATTCACAGCTGCCACCTTACCAGTTCTGCTGATAAGATATAAGTGCCTCTACTCATTGGGTGAACAGGAAAATATACTCACTTTGGGGCATCAATTTTTTAAAAATACATAAAAAGCCCCAGTTGGAAACAGACTGTTCATTCCTCCAAGGTTGGAAAAAGTAGATAGAGGAGGGATTTCTTGGTCTCCATCTATCAAATTTGTTTAATTTATTTAAAATAAACATAACTCCATCCTTCAAAGGAAATTTTGCTAAAGTGCCTTACAATTCAAACCTTCCCATAGGTTGACATCATTTCCTTGGGCATTTGCTAAGCCTTTCCTCTTTCTGTGTTTTAACTTTTGGAAAACATCAGCAGGAGAATTTTCAGACTACTCTTCACCTAAACCTACAAAAGTTATGTACTCAACAAAAACAGAACACCGTGTTAGCAAAAAACAAATGGAATGACAGAGCAGTATACTTTAGAATGGTGGATCAATATGTTAAAAGGCTTGAGCAAATGAAAAAGCATTCACATAGCTCCAGAATAAAGTTTATTAAAGTTCATGTTAGCTATATTTCTGTGAGGAGGATGTTCTATCAGTGGAGTCCTAGAGCAAACATGGAAGAGAATATTTGGTGCTGTTTAAGCTTGATGGTTTTCTTGAAGACATTTCGTTACCAAACTAGGCAACAGCATCAGTGTTGATGATATTACCTAGTTTGGTAATGAAACATCTGCAAGAAAACCATCAAGCTCAAAGAGCAGCAAGGACCTCAAAGGTCCTTCTCCTTTGCTACTCATGGAACATACTTTGAGATCCTCAACACATACCTTAGGTCTGAGATGGCATGTTGTAGTGGCTAAGGGGCTGGACTAGGAGTGAGGAGACCCAGGTTCTAGTCCTCCCATAAGCACAAAAGGAAGTTGGGTGACTTTAAGCCAGACCTCTCAACCCCCAATCAGTGGCAGCCTCTGCAACACATTAGTTAAGAAGCAAACCCATTATTGCTTCATGCCCTGACGCACTTCACTAAGTGAGATAATTGAGTGCAGAATAAATGTTAAGAAGAATTGGACTCCAAAACAAAGAAATAGCTAATATATGTTCTTTAAACTCACTTTTATTCCACGCCACTTGACTGTACTAGTTGCAGGCTTGATCATGCATTCAGCATTACTAAAAGATTCAAGTTATATTTAAGGGAAGTCCTGGGCTTCAACAAAGCTGTATTAAGAAATGTTCCAAAAGTCTTACACTTAGGGAAGAAAAACCAAAAGTACACATATAGACTGGGTGAAACCAGGCGTAACAGCCCTGTGAGAGGGATCTTGGAGTCTTAGTGACAACCAATTAAATATGAGCCAACAGTGTGTAGCGGCAGCCAAAAAAGCCAATGCAACCCTAAGTTGCGTTAACAGAGGGGTACAATCAAGATCAAAGGAGGTATTAATACTACTCTATAAAACCTTAGGAAGACCACACCTAAAATACAGCATCCAATTTTGGTCGCCACACAATAAAAAAGTTATTGAGCTCTAGAAAGAGTGCAGAGAAGAGCAACCAAGATGATTAGGGAACTGGAGGCTAAAACATATGATGAATGGTTGCAGGAACTGAGCATGGCTATCTAGTGAAGAGAAGGACCAGGATAGCAGTCTTCCAATATTTGAGGAGCTGCCACAGAGAGGAGAGGGTCAAGCTATTTTCCAAGGCACCTAAAGGCCAGACAAGGAATAATGGATAAAAACTGATTCAACCTAGAAATAAGGAGAAATTTTTTGACAGAACAATCAACCAATGGAACAGAAGTTGCCTTCGGAAGTTGTGGCAGCTTCATCATTGGAGGCTTTCAAGAAGAGATTGGACTGCCATTTGTCAGAAATGGTGTAGGGTTGCCTGCTTGGGCAGTTGGGGTTGGACTAGATGACCTACAAGGTCCCTTCCAACTCTGTTAATCTGTTACCTGTATGGAATCTCTGTCTTCTAGAATATAAATCTAATTCTTGGATATGGAATTACATATTTATCAGGCTTTTATTATGTTATAGTATTCAGTTTTAATTACTGGCACTCATGTAGCCCATTGTAAAGTTGTCATTGACTAAGACAGATAATCTGTTTTATTCAAAATGCTCTGAATTTGAACTGCCAACTTTTGTCAACTTTGCAGAAAAAGAAGATATGTAAAATGCTGTTAGCCCTCAAAACCCGAGTTCAAAGCGACATTCTTAAAGAGAGACTACAGTATCACCTATATCAAGACTACAGTATCACCTATAGCAAATTAGCCCATTGATTACCTTCTGAATCTATCCACTTCCTCTATCTTGGATTTCTAATCGCAACAAAGAAAAAAAACTATTTTAGCTATTTTCCAAGCATTTTATTTATATACTTTGACTACTGGATTAGATAGTACTCTGGACATAGAAGATGAATCAAGGAATTCTGTGTACATTAAGTAAGAGTTGTCACCAAAACACTTTGTGGGTACTACAACAAGCCTGCCAGGGCCAATATTGAATAGTCCATTCACCACCACCTGAAAAGACTGTTCAAATCTCAAGGAATCAATAGAAGCGGAAATATATATTGTAAATGTTCTGGCTACCATTAGCACAGCAATAATTAACTAATATTGCTGTTGAGATTTGGGGTTTTGTGAAGGTTTTGTGCAGGTTTCTCTGAAACAGACAAAGTGCCCCTGCTGCCTCCTTGGTCTACTCAGCTTCTTCAAGATGATCACTGTTGTTTCTTTTGTGGACCAAGCACCTGGCTTTCCTTTACAAGGAAATAGAAAATCACCTTCACATTATTGCCAGGAAGCTATATGGAAAGACAAGGGGACTAGTATAGCTTAAAAGTGATTTTACACTTTTACGAGCAGGACTCCCAGATAAAGAATTGAATGTGCATGTGTTTGCATGTCAATGTTTTTTTTCCAACGGTAAACAATAAGGTTTACCATAAACCTTATAAACCACTTTGAAACTTTGTTTTAGCATCTTGAAGTATAAAAAATATACTAAAAAAATAAATTTAAAAAATAAACCTTGGCTTTGGAAAGTTTTTGGAGCAGACCTTTTCTGGTTAACTGAATAACAGCTGAATAAACAAATCAAAGCAGGAAGGAAACTGACCAATTTACTTTACAATTCTAAATGCAGACTTTGTGAATAGGAGGATAGAGTTTTAGGTCACAAAATACTCCATTAATGTGCACTTAGGAAAAAAACCTTTGTGGGGAACACAGATGACCTGCAACTCCTTAAGGAAGTCACAACTTTTCCTGGATTTCTGTAGCTGCCCTGTGGGGCCATGAAAATACACCATTCAATTAAAGTAGAACTGACAGACAAATTGGCTGGGCCCCGTTGCCTCTCTTTCATTCACGTGTATTTGCCTCAGACCCTGTTGACAGTGGCACCTCTGACCTTAAGATGCACTTTCGACTTTCCCCAATTGCAATTTTGACCCTCAGAAGCTGCCTTTTTAACCTAAATTGTACTTTTGACCATCCCAAATTAAATAAATAAATAAATAAATAAATAAATAATTTTATTTCTATACCGCCCTTCTCCCGAAGGACTCAGGGCGGTGTACAGCCTATTTAAAAACACAAAAAACACGACAACAATTTAAAATTTAAAATCATTAAATAATTAGGCTCCAATTAAAATCCCAGAAATTTAAAATACCCCAATTTAAAACGTTATGTTAATAGCCCTGCCTGGCGGAACAACAGGGTCTTCAGAGCGCAGCGAAACACCCGGAGGTCGGAAATCTTTCGTATTTCGGGGGGCAGTTCATTCCACAGGGCTGGGGCTCCCACAGAGAAGGCCCTCCCCCTGGGTGTCGCCAGCTGACATAACTTGGCTGATGGCACCCGGAGGAGACCCTCTCTGTGGGAGCGGACTGGTCGGTGGGAGGCTATTGGTGGCAGAAGTCGGTCTCGAAGGTACCCGGGTCCTATGCCATGGAGCGCTTTAAAGGTGGTAACCAACACCTTGAATCGCACCCGGAAAACCACTGGGAGCCAGTGCAGCTCGCGCAGGAAGGGTGTCACGTGGGCGCAACGGGTTGCACCCATAACCACCCGCGCGGCCGCATTCTGGACCAGTTGGAGCCTCCGAGTGCTCTTCAAGGGGAGCCCCATGTAGAGAGCATTACAATAGTCCAACCGGGAGGTGACAAGGGCGTGAGTGACCGTGCGCAAGGCGTCCCGATCCAGAAAGGGCTGCAACTGGCGAATCAGGCGAACCTGATAAAAGGCCCCCCTGGCCACGGCCGTCATGTGCTCTTCTAAAGACAGCCGTGCGTCCAGGAGGACACCCAGATTGCGAGCCCTCTCTGTGGGGGGCAAGGATTCACCCCCAATAGTCAGCGATGGCACCTGCTGACTATATCGGGGCGCCGGAAGCCACAGCCACTCGGTCTTGGAGGGGTTGAGTCTGAGCCTGTTCCTCCCCATCCAGGCCCGCACGGCCTCCAGGCAGCGGGACATCACATCAAGGGCATCGTTGGGGTGGTCTGGGGTGGAGATGTACAGCTGAGTATCGTCAGCGTACAGATGACACTTCACCCCAAAACTACGGATGATCTCACCCAGCGGCTTCACATAAATGTTGAACAGGAGAGGCGAGAGGACCGACCCTTGCGGCACTCCCCATGCGAGATGCCTCGAGGTCGACCTCTGTCCCCCTGCCAACACAAACTGTGAGCGGTCGGAGAGGAAGGAGGAGAACCACCGCAAAACGGTGCCCCCTATTCCTAACCCCCTCAACCACTGCAGCATGATACCATGGTCGATGGTATCAAAAGCCGCCGAGAGGTCTAATAGGACTAGGACAGAGGAGCAGCCCCTGTCCCGAGCCCTCCAGAGATCATCCACCAACGCGACCAATGCCGTTTCAGTGCTGTACCCCTGCCTGAAGCCCGACTGGTACGGGTCCAGATAGATAGCTTCATCCAGGTGCCGGGGAAGTTGTCGTGCCACCACGCTCTCAACAACCTTCGCCACAAAACGAAGGTTGGAGACTGGACGATAGTTGGCTAATTCAGCCGGGTCCAGGGAAGGCTTCTTGAGGAGGGGCCTCACTACCGCCTCTTTCAAGGCGGCAGGAAAGGCACCCTCACTCAGAGAAGCACTTATAATCCCCTGGAGCCAGCCTCATGTAACCTCCCGGGAGGCCAGCACCAACCAGGAGGGACACGGGTCCAATAAACATGTGGCGGCACTAAATTGCACTCTTGCCTTCTCTAAATTGCACTTTAACGTAAATTACACTTTTGATATCCCAATACTGTATATACTTTAAGATGGTCATACTTTTGTCCTTGACTTAAATAGCAGCACTCAACTTTTCTATAATGGACTGCATGTTTGAGCTTAACTGTCAGGTTAAAGCATGGAATTGTGCCAAAATTTCTAAAAGGAATTAAGATACATAGCCCCCATTATATCCTCTTCTGTCCATGCATACCCATAGAACTTCTCCAGGCCCCCTTTCCAATTCTACAATATTTCTTCTACAATATTGTAGATAATATTCTACAATATTATCTGGGGTATTATAGTGTGATGTGCTCATGGGCAGAGTTATGAGAAAAGAAGCATGCCACTTACTTCTCAAGTGCAAAGTGCATTTTAGAAAGGTCAATGTGCAATTTAGATTAAAAGTGCAGCTTTTGAAAGTCAAAATTGTAACTTACGAAAGCAGACACATCTACGGTCATCGGACAAAGTGCCTTCTCCCAATCATTTGCAGAGTTACTCAGTCAGGAAGTATTAAACCCAAGATGAAGCAGGTACAGAAGAGCAGGATTTTGCAATTTTATCTACTGCTCATCAAAAGTGGGTAACTTGAGTCTGAAATGAGATGGAAGCCCGTTTGGAATTTTCATCCATTTATTTTCAAGTGGGGCATAGAATAATGAGCAAATATGCATTTAGTACCCAAAGACAAGATTGTTAAAATTGCCAGGAAGTCTAGGAAATATGGACAGAGATGAGAAGTAGATATTTTGATGAGTTCCAAACACCTACCGGTACTTGTTGACAAGCTGGGCACATTATGATACAGGATTTAGGCATGTTGTTCTTGCACTTTCCTGAGGAATTCTGATATGCAAGGCTGCTTGGAATCATTTTATTCTGTTCTAGGAAAGAATGATGCTAGCCTACACAAAGCAGTTTGTTTAATAAACTATACAAATCAACAGAGGCTGGATGGAAGAGTAACACGAAACCTCCACGTGAAAATCCAAGCCAATGTTTTGCCTTTGCTGTGTCTTCATGGCTTTTCTCTTCCAGGGGAAGTTGGCCATGGCAGGTCTCCTTGCGTCTGAAGGGGATTCACAAAGATGCTCGTTTGTTGTGCGGTGCAACACTTATCAGCAGTTGCTGGGTAATGACAGCAGCACATTGCTTCAAAAGGTAAAGTATAGCCAGCATCCACACATTGTTAGTCAGAAAAAAATTAAATCATGGTTTGTGAACATGTCATAGAAAACTTCTTCATGTCTCCCTAAATTCAACCTGAGGGTAGATGGCTAACCATCTTTGAAGGTCATCTCATACTATATCCTTTTTTTTATGGGCAGCTTATAACTGATGCCAGTGGACTCTGAGTTTCTGCAAACTCAAATTGTGTCAATATTTTACACCTTTTTTCAGAAGAAGCATTATGTTTGCACATTGTGTCACACATTGGAGGTGACCCAATTAATGAGGCATATTGATGGAGAATGGATCTTCCCAGCTCCTACTAGCTGCTTATGAATGGTGCAGACAAATCCTTCCTCCACTCTTCCCTTCCTGACATGTAAAGACTCATGGTAGAGATGCTATCTGAACTAGGGGTTCCTCCTGTTTCATCTCCCCTCCCCTCCCCATGACTTAGCCTGACTAGGTGGCTCAGTGGCTAAGACACTGAGCTTGTTGATCAGAAAGGTCAGCAGTTCAGCGGTTCGAATCCCTTGTACGGGTGTCCTGCGTGAGCAGGTGGTTAGACTAGATGACCTCCAAGGTCCCTTCCAACTATGTTACTGTTACCTGCCCTAATGCCATACAGTATGCTGGGCTGGCTGATGTGGGATTGTTACTTCAATCAAGACAGTCTCCACCCCCAGATGGCAGGTCAGCAGACAGCATAGGGGACTTGGAAGGAGACATAAAACATGCAAATTCATCTTCTTACCTCCCTGGTCCTTCCTGTGGCATGAAGACAGGTTGCATAGGAAGCCTCCCTTATTATATCTGAAAGCACCCCCCACGTCTGGGCCTGATCCACAGTGGTGGGATAACAGAAATGGCAACCCTGTGGATCAGGCCCTGCAGGTGATCCAGGGGTAAGGAAGAGAAAGCTTCTCCTGACATATTGCCCCCTTCCTACCCTCTGATAGAAAGCAAAACTCATTGCTCCAGCTGCTCTAACCATCTGTCAGATTTTTCCTTCTCCTCAGCCCCGGCCTTCAATAGGGCAAGCAATGGTTGGGGAATTCTCTGCCGATGGGAAAATCCTTCACGGCTAAGGATTTTCCCATCGGCAGAGAATTCCCCAACCATTGTATCTCGAGCAAGCCATTAAGACAGCACTGCTCACCAGCTCATTGCCAACATGGACTAAAGCTCAGCTACTTTGACAAGAGACAATTATGCTGGCATCAGCTGGGTATGCCAGTGTGCCAATAATGGCTGGGTGCCCACATCATGCTAAGTCATAATAGAGCTTGTTTATAACAGACCCTGCTATGGTTAGTGCACCAGTCTCTCAAGGACTTCAGGTTGATTTTATTTATGGGCGTCTTACTTATATTTTTGAGGAATGTATTTACTTCACCTAAAATATCTGCCTAAAGAGAATAATGTAATATATGATTATATTTCATGTGTGTAGGATGGCAGAGGAGATGTTTTAAATTGACTCAACACTCCTTAAGAAAGATCCTTTCTAGTTGAAAGAAACATGAAACATCTTCATTGAAAACTAACTGGCTTGTGACTCTTTTGCGGGCAGATTTGGGGTAGACGTTCGTCGCTACCTTCTGCGGGTGGGAGACCACCATACCGCTGTGAGAGATGAGTCGGAGAGAGAGTTGCCGGTGGAGAAGATCCTCCTTCATAGAAATTATCGGTCGAGCAGTAATGATAATGACATTGCTCTGGTCAGGATGTGGGGCAAAGGGGACAACTGTCTCTCCTTCAGCCCCCGTGTCTTTCCCGTCTGCCTCCCCGCTGGGAAGCAGAAAGCTGCAATGGACCGAAAGTCTTGCGTCATATCAGGCTGGGGAGATACAGGTGAGTGCTGGGTTGCCTCACAACTTCCACATGGGATATCAAAGAATAAATAGAGAAGTTAGTCCTCCCTATTTGCAAATTGAAAAAACTTTGAGGGCATTTACCACCTCATACAGAACGAGAGTTTCAAGTATATAATAAATAATCAATGGAAAGCAAAAACAGTGACTTTTTGTTAACTATTTATTAAATTAAATAACATTGCTTTTAAAAGCCTTGGTAGTATAGTGGTCTAAAGCACCCTGTTATTAAGACCAGCTGCCTGCAATTACTGCAGGTTCGAATCTCGCCAGGCTCAAGGTTGACTCAGCCTTCCATCCTTTCTAAGGTAGGTAAATTGAGGACCCAGTTGTGGGGGCAATAAGCTGACTTTGTATAAATATACAAAAAGGATGAAGGCTATTGCTGAGCACATTGTAAGCCGCCCTGAGTCTCCGGAGAAGGGCGGCATATAAATCAAATTAAAAAAAAAAATGGAGATAAATGCAGCCAGCTTAGCTACTGTATGTATAAAACATTTCAACTTAAAGAAGCTTTCCTAGTTATTAACTGTCACTGTGTAAGCCTGAAAACCTGTTGAAGACTTCATTAGTAGTAAGGATGGGTATGAAATATGACATGATGTATCCTATAGTTCTGATTTATATGATAGATGAATGTATATATTTTACACCCAGTAGTTTCTAAAAAGAATGCAAATAGGAAACCATGTGAGGGAAATGGATGGTTTAAAATAAATAAAAACAAATAAACCCCGTTATAAATAAAATAAAAGACCCACTGCTGTACTCAGAAATGCCCCATCTAGTTTATATAGTTATCTAGTTATATTTCAAACAAAAAACATGACAGATCAATCTTCTGGGCCTGCCAAAGCAGCAGAAGGCAAACCAAGAAGTAATGGATGGAAAGAAGCAGCAACCTAGAACTAAGAAGAAATTTCTTGACAGTGAGAACAACAAAAACTTGCCTCCAGAAGTTTTAGGTACTCCATCATTGGAGGTTTTTAAGAAGAGATTGGACAGCCATTTGTCTGAAATGATATCTGGTGTCCTGTTTCAGTAGGGGGTTGAACTAGAAGACCACCAAGGTCCTTTCCAACTGTTACTCTGATGATCCCCAGATGTCTTGTACTACATTGCCATCATCTCAGAATCACAGAATAACAGAGTTGGAAGGGCTCTTGAAGGTCCTTTAGTCCAACCCACTACTGAGCAGGAGACTGGAAGACTGCTACTGTAGCAATTGCAGCAATTGTGCTTTACAGCATTCTCTGAGCAATTTACAAATGTCAGCATATTGCCCCCAATAATCTGGGTCATTTTACTGATCTTGGAAAAATCAGCCTTGATAGTACAGTGGTCTAAGCACCCTGTTATTAACACAGCTGCCTGCAATTTACTGCTGGTTTGAATCTCTCCAAGGCTCAAGGTTGACTCAGCCTTCCATCCTTTCTAAGGTAGGTAAATTGAGGACCCAGTTTGTGGGGGCAATAAGCTGACTTTGTATAAATATACAAAAGTATGAAGGCTATTGCTTAGCACATTGTAAGCCGCCCTGAGTCTCCGGAGAAGGGCGGCATATAAATCAAATTTAAAATAAAAATAAAAATGGAAGGTTGAAATTAACCTTGAGCCGGTGAAGATCTAACTCCTGGCAGTAGGCAAAGATAGCCTGCAATTCTATATTTTAACCACTGCGCCAACATGACTCCTATCATATCACCCCTAGTCCTTCTCTTCATTACACTAAAGATACTGACTATGGGGGATGTTTGTGAAAGCAAGCCTGGCAAAATGGAGGGGCTGATGCTCATCCAGTTGGAGCCTACAAGCCCTAGCCTTGCTCTTCCTCAGTATGTCTTTCAGTAGTTGGTTGTTAAGGAGGTATATTTAGAACACAGAACATTGAATAATGGGGTTGGAAGGGTCCTTGGAGGTCTTCTAGTCCAGCCCCCTGCCCTGGCAGGAGACCCTAGACAATGGCTCTTGTCTAGGATCGCTCCTTAAAAATCTCGTCTTAAAAATCTCCCGTGATGGAACATTCATGACTTCTGAAGCAAGCCGTTCCACTGGTTAACTGTTCTCACTGTGAGAACTATTAAATTTCTCCTTAGTTCTAGGTTGGATCTTTCCTTGATAGGTTTCCACCCAGTGCTGCTTGTTTCCTTCAGGGGTTCGTTGGAGAATGGGTTGTTCCCCCCTCTCTGTGACAGCCCCTCCAATATTGGAAGACTCCTATTATGTCACCCCTATTCCTATCTATGTGCTCACCGTAACTTTCTCTTAAGCAGCAATGACTAAAGTAAGAGGGAAAGAGGGAGCAAAAGAAGGACAATCTCTCTGAAAGCAGTAAATCCTCTTGTGAGTTGAATGATTATATTTTGTGAATGACTGTGTGAAACAAAAGGAATGATTTCCCTTTCTTTGCTTTTATTTTTTATCTTTTTGTTTACTTCTCTGCCCTGGAACCACAAACCACAAGCTGATTTGTTGTACTTAAATGTTATTTCAACATTAACCACAAGAGGGGAGGACAAAAGACTAATCTCTATCAGAAAGCTATTTTTCTCTCTGTTTTTTTTTACATCTTCTCTTTTTTGTTTGATTTCAACATTGCTTATAAAGACTATCAGTCCACTTGTTAAAGAATAAATACAGTAGTAAATGCTACTTTTTATATAGATCATTTTTACACACAGGGAGATATACATATACACACATATTTATACATGCTTTTCAATTTATTATTATTTTATATTTATTATTATAAGTGATGTGTGTGTGTATGTACATATACAATATGGACAATGCAATATCCGAGATAAAATATTAATTAAGCTGAAACCGTAATAAAATCATCATAAGTAGGAAAAATAAGACATGCTATCGTATTAAACATGTAGAAATTCTTAGATCACTACCTAAATCCTAAAATTAACCTAATCTTAATCTTCTCAACATTTTCCTTTTTGGAATACAAATAGTCCTTGTTTAGCAACAACTAGGGCCAGGAACTTGGTTGCTAAGTAAAGCAGTTGCTAAGTGAAACCATAACTCTGCTTAAGATTTTACTTCACCTTTTTACTTTACATACAAGATTGTAAATACAAAGATTGGTTGCAAAATTATTTTTCCATCCTCATGGTAACTACAAACAGATACTAAACAAGGCAGCTGCTAACGGACGTCTACTTGTAGAGACAAAAATTGGGCAGTTATAAAATATAGTACTTGAGGAATGATTGTATGCCAACTCTGCTTCTTACTTGTAAGTACACTACACCAGATCAATAATTTTACACCCAGAAGTGAGACAATTTTAAAAATAAATTTCATGGACCATTTTTGATAATTTTAGATTTTCAAGTTACATTTTTGATAGGGTCATGAATTCAGTGTAAGGTGTAAATTATTCTCAATCCTTCCCCCAAACTATTTTATGTACTTAAATTCCAGATCAGTAAAATATTCTGTAACAGACACATCCTGGCCTTTAGAGTGCGCCAAGGAATTACACCCAGCATTTAATAGTGTACTAGAACAGAATTTGCTTTACAATTCTCAGGATTGAGGACTAGCACAGTATTAAGAGCAAAGGGCACCTTCACTAGGAACTAATCCTAAAATAAAGCAGTGTTATTAATTAAATCCATAATTACAATCAAGTACCAACTCCTTCTGAATCACTTTGTATTAAAACAGTGGTCCCCAACCTTTCTGGCTGTGCTGACTGTCAGGGGAGGGGAGAGGAAATGGTTCTGTGCAACCGTACATGTGCAGCTCCATTTGTGCAAGTGGTGGGCACTTGCGCGCACATATGAAGTTCCATTTGTGTGAGCGTTGGGTGCGCCCGCCACTTATACAAATGGAGCTTCATGTGTGCAAGAGAATGCCTGCCGCTTGCACAAAGGGAGCTGTACATGCACATTTGCCTGCTGCTTGCGCAGCCTGCGGGTTGGGGACTCTGTATTAGAAAATGGACGTTGTCCTACCTGTTATGCTCGATGCGCCGCCAATTCTACTTCTGGGAGCTTGATTGATGATTGGATGTACTGAGTGCCTATCAAAGTTTCTGCAGCCTTGGTACTGCCCCTTGTGATGTTAACCCTTCAGTCTTTTTCACGAAGCAGATAACTAGGACGACACCGACCCATGCTCAGAATAATCCAAAGGCAGGATCACAGAAGCAATGCTGCAGAAAAGGAAACAAAAGAAAAACACACACCACCCACAGCAGCCATGGTCGACAAACGGGTGGGCCGGATTGGCGGCGCATCGAGCATAAAAGGGACGTTCAGGTAGGACAACGTCCATTTTCCTGACTCGATGCGCCGCCAATCCTACTTCTGGGACATACCCAAGGTTACTCATTGTCTGGGAGGGGTTGAGCCACTGGCTGTCCCTGGGTGGATATTACAGATTGTAAAACTCGTCTGCCGAAGGCAGCATCAGCAGAAGCAAAGGAGTCTAAACGATAATGGCGAACAAAGGAAGACAAAGATGACCACGTCGCCGCCTTACAAATGTCATCCACAGACGCTTGTGAGGCCCAAGCCGCTGAGGTAGCAGCACTTCGAGTGGAATGGGGGACAATGCCACCAGGCACAGCCCTGCCCTGTAAATGGTAAGCAGTTGAGATACAAGCTTTTAGCCACTGACCTACAATATGAGAAGAAACTTTGTGTCCCATGGAAGCTGGTAAAAAAGACACCAGCAAGGCCTCTGTCCTTCTAAAGGAAGCAGTGCGCTTAATATAACGCCGTAAGGCCCTACGGACGTCTAAGGTATGCCACTGTCTCTCTAAAGGATGTCGGGGGTCAGGACAGAAATTAGGGAGCGTAATTTCTTGACTTCTATGAAATTTTGAATTAACTTTGGGTATGAAGGCCGGATCTAGTCGGAGAACTACTCTATCAGGGAAAAACACACAGAGATCTGGGCGAATAGACAGAGCAGCAATCTCTGAAACCCTCCTAGCCGAGGTTATTGCCAGAAGAA